GTGGTGCCATTCAACCGTCTTGACCTCTGTCATCCCTTCCCCTCCTGCCTTCTATCTTTTCCAGCACCAGGGTCTTTTCCAATGAGTTGGCTGTTCGCATCAGGTGGCCAAAGTATTGGAACTTCAGTATCAGTCCTTCCAATGAATATTCAGGGTTGATTTCCTTCAGGATTGATTGGTTGGATCTCCTTGCAGTCCAAGGGACTCTGAAGAGTCTTCTCCAAAACCTCAGTTCAAAAGCATCAGTTCTTTGGTGCTCAGCCTTCTTTATGGTCCAACTCTCATATCCTTATATGAATACTGGAAAAACCATAGCTTTGACTATACAGAACTTTGTTGGCAAAATGATGCCTCTGATTTTTAATACAGTGGCAAGATTTGTCATAGCTTTTCTACCAAGGAGCAAGCATGTTTTAATTTCACGGCTGAAGTCACCATCTGCAGTGATTTTGGCTTAGGAAAATAAACTCTTACTGTTTCTATTGTTTCCCCATGTATTTGCCATGAAGTGATGGGACCAGATGCCATGATCATTTTTTGAATGTTAAATTTTAAGCCAGCCTTTTCACTCTCCTTTCACCTTCATCCAGAGGCTCTTTAGTTTCTCTTTGCTTTCTGCCATAAGGGTAGTATCATCTGCATATCTGAGGTTATTGATATTTCTTTCTGGGATCTTGATTCCAGCTTGTGCTTCATCCAGCCCGGCATTTCACATGATGTACTCTCCATATAAGTTAAATAAGCAGGGTGACAGTATACAGTCTTGACATAGTCCTTTCCCAATTAGGAACCAGTCTTTTGTTCCATGTCCAGTTCTGTTACCTCTTGACCTGCATAGAGGCTTCCCAGGAGGCAGGTAAAGTGGTCTGGTATTCCCATCTCTTTAATAATTTCCCACAGTTTGTTGTGATTCACACAGTCAAAGGGTTTAGCATAGTCAATGAAGCAGAAGTAGATGTTTTTCTGGAATTCTCTTGCTTTTTCTATCATCCAAAGGATGTGGCAGTTTGATCTCTGGTTCCTCTCCTTTCCTAAATCCAGCTTATATACCTGGAAGTTCTTGGTTTACATACTGTTGAAGCCTAGCTTGGAGGATTTTGAGCATGATCTTGTGAGCAAGAGAAATGAGTGCACTTGTGCAGCAGTTTCAACATTCTTTGGCATTGCCCTTCTTTCGAATTGGGATGAATAGGGAAAGTCGGCTTGCTGGGCTGCGAATAAGAGAATTGTGCCTGAGTACGCACCGAAGGGCACTATCTCACTACTTCTTCCCCTAAATTCACACGTGCACAGCTCTGAAACAATCCAGGGGGCTGCAGTACCTGGCTGAAGGTGCTTAGAAGTTCACATTCAAGAGGGAGCTGTGAGCAGGGAAACGCAGCACCAGAAGAAACGGAGGCTGGGTGACTATTTGGTGCAAGACCCCCAAGGCCCTGGAGCCTTGATCACACTCAGGGCTCTGGTCCCAGGCAGAGCAGAGAAGAGGTTTCAGATGGGGCTCAGGACAGGGCGCCCTACCTGGCTGTGTCGACCTCACCCAGGGGAGGCATGGGTCCAATGTCTGATCAGGCTGCAGGGGTGCGATCTCGCTCCAACCTCAGAGGCTTTGAGGGGAAAGAGTGTTCATTGCCCTTTCTCCCTTTCTGGAGTGAATGTCACACCAGTAGTCTCTTGGAGTATAAGCCTTTTGCAAGCTGTGTTATTGTCACTGTTCAGCCGACCGTTTCAGGTATTAGGCATATGTGGAATGTATCTAGTCTCTTCTGACTGCCCCTCCCATAGAGCTAATTGCAGAAGGTTGAGGAATATGGTCCCCATCCGGTCCCTGTGGTTTTTCTGTCTCAGATACAGTTCTCTTCCTATGAAACAGAAAGGAAGGCACATATCCTTGTGGATTATCTTACAGATGTTACTGATTTCTTTATATAGGGGAGAGGTTCAGAATTCTGTGTATGTGTGGATGGAGGCGGGAAGGAGATCATCCTGGTGGATTATTTTTACAGATGCAGATTTCTGTATCTCTCTGAAGCCCGACCTCCTGGTGATTTAGTCCCAGCAATTCAGTTTTTTTTTTTTTTTTAAGCCTTTGTGGGTGTTTCAGTTCTGAGATTGTCTGTCTGGGTTGTAAATTTCTTCCTTTTTTCTTTAGAAGGGATATCCTATGCTATTGTCTCCCTCTGTCTGGAGAGCTTCCCCTAGCCTATGATCCATCCAGGTCCATCGTTGTAGCTCATAGCAGCATCATTTCATAATTCCCATGGTGGTCTTTTATGGCTCCATAATAGTCCATCGTATACATGTACCTCAACTGGTTAAAACTTTAATTGGTCAGTGAAGATTTTGGTTGCTCTGTGTGTTGGCTTACGTAGGTCCTCTTGCAGTGATCCATGGGGTGCATGTGCCTTGTCCGCATATACGCCCAGATGTGACAACGTCAGATCTCAGGCGTAGCCTTTCATACTGATTTAGTCTGGCATTTGGTGCCTGTTCATTACACTGGTTCTTGCCATTGTACATCGTTGCAAATTGTATTGGGAGATTCTAGTTCCACTGGGGTATTTTCCCCATTTATGGCCTGCAGCTGTATGAGGATGGCCATTCTGAGTGCCGGCGTTTGCACTCTCGTTGCCGTTTTGACTGGCATGCCTGTCATAGGGATGCTGAGCGTCCTCTCTTAGGGTGCAGGTTTGTGGATATTTTTCTTTTGTCTCCTCAAAGGTTGTGAGGCTAAGTGACCTGTAGTAACTGGCCTCTTGAAAGTCCCTTGTGTTGGGAATTTGTCCCTTCAAAATCTGCCCCAGGACATTTTGTGAAGGCAGCTGTGTCTAAGAGCCCTGGCCTTGTGAATTCCAGGTGCAAGTAAGGAGCAGTGGTCACATTGTGGTTACAGAAGTGTCCACAAGATGGCAGCACTTTCTCCTGCCCATCTGCGGTTCCTCGGGCAAACAGAGCCTCCGGGCAAGTCGGCTTGAAGGGTTGTCTCACTGCTGCTTTCCCCTAAAGCCTCACAGCCCCTCCCTTCTGGACCAGTCCAAACCAAGGCCGCAGAACCTTTCTGAAGGTGCTTCCCTGATAGCTTGGTTGGTAAAGAATCCGCCTGCAATTCAGGAGACGTGGGTTTGATCCCTGAGTTGGGAAGATCCCCTGGAGAAGGAAAAGGCTACCCACTCCAGTGTTCTGGCCTGGAGAATTCCATGGGTAATTCTGTATAGTCCATGGGGTCACAAAGTGTCAGACATGACTGAGCGACTTTCACTTTCACATAGAAGCCCAGGAGGCTGCACTTTCAGGAAGGAGGTTTGCGGCGGGAACCCCAGCACCAGGAGGCGTGGAGGCTGGGTGACTATTCTGCTGACGGAACCCAAAGGCCCTGGATGCCTTGGTCTTCCTCGGGACTGTAGTCCCAGGCAGAGACGAGCAGAGAGGATTCAGATGGGGCTCAGGACAGGGCGCCCTACCTGGCTGTGTCGACCTCACCCCAGGGGAGGCATGGGTCCAATGTCTGATCAGGCTGCAGGGGTGCGATCTTGCTTCAACTTCAGAGGCTTTGAGGGGAAAGAGTGCTCGTTGCCCTTTCTCCCTTTCTGGAGTGAATGTCACACCAGTAGTCTCTTGGAGTATAGTCCTTTTGCAAGCCATGTTGTCGTCACTGTTCAGCCGACCGTTTCAGGTATTAGGAATATGTGGAGTGTATCTAGTCTCTTCTGACTGCCCCTCCTATAGAGCTTATTGCAGAAGGTTGAGGAACGTGGCCCCCATCAGGTCCCTGTGGGTTATCTGTCTCAGATACAGTTTTCTTCATATGTGAACAAGGAAGGAAGAAGGAAATTCTTTGGATTATTCATTACAGGTAGAGATTTCTGTGTATAGGGTTTAGGTCCAGAATTCTATGTGTGGATGGAGGCAGGATGGAGAGAATCCTGCGGATTATTTTTTACAGACACACATTTCTGTGTCTCTTTTTGGCCAAACCTCCTGTGGAATGCATCCTCAGTGCTTTTTCTTGTTTTGGAACCCTTTTTGTGTCTTTCAATTCTAAGCATCTCTTATGGGTTGTAAATTTCTTCCTTGGCATCTTTTTTCCTTTGCTTTAGAAGGGACATCCAACGCTATCGTCTCCTTCTGTCTGGCTTGCTTCCCTCAGTTTATTATCTGTTCAGGGCCATCCTTGTGGCTACCAGTGGCGTCATTTCATAATTTCAATGGCGATGTTTTTGGCTGATAGTCTATCACATACATGTCCCTCATCTTGCCCTCCCCGGAAGTGGTGTGGTGGTCCTTGTGAGCTGGTCCTTTAAACGGGGTGAAAATAGGGTCAGATCCATGGTTTAGGTGGTAAAGGTCTGCCCACATCCTTGTGGCCTGTATCTGATCATGAATGGTTCCCTGCTTTTTCTCCCACACCTCAGATATCACAATTGAGTTTTTGGTCTTTTTGCATCTTTTGTATCTTATTCACAGTTTCCCCAAGTGAGCATGCCTGCACTTATTTTTAGTCCTTTATTGTTTCTTTGTATTCTGTTGCTTTAGAAGAGGTTTGTTCTCACTGGTTCTTGCCTTGTGGCCTTGGACCACTTCCTAGAAGTGTCAGACATCTGTTTCTTTTAAGGAGACTGTGGTGAGGATTAAAGGTGGGTCCACGTGACCGAGTGGACTCTGTAGGGCCTGAGCAGATACTGACATGCGTAGTACATTTGACCTTTGAAGAGCACCAGTTTGAACTGTATGGAATCCATTTAGATGTGGGTTTTTTCCAATAAACAGTACGACAGGATCCCCAGTTTGTGAAATCTGCAGATTCAGACCATGGACCCAGGGGGCGGGTGGGGGGGGGCTGCAAAGTTATACATGGATTTTCCAGTGCACAGCCTCAGAGTCTGTCAGCTGTATATTCTGAATGATATAATCCCTGGGCTAAATGCTATGGAAAAAATAAAGTTGGGAAAATGTGAGCAGAAGGCCTCACTGAGGGGGGGTGATACTTGAGTGACATGACGAGGAGCCAGCCAATGGGGACATCCAGGGAAGAGCGCTCCAAGTGGGGAACAGCTCGCCGAGGTCCTGACGTGGGAACGAGCTCAAGTCAGGATATCAAGGAGGTCAGTGTGACAGAGCGGAGTGATGGGAGTTGGGATGTTTAGAAAGTACAGCCTGCTGTCTGGCTTTGTCTCACTTGGGAAGGAGGGGCACAGGGGTCCACAAGGGCGGGTTCTAAGCTGGAGCACTTGCTCTCCTTAAGGGCCAGAGGTGATGGGCATCCTCTCATGACCTTGTGTGATCTGTCTGCCCTTGTGGAGAGAGGAAGATCAAAACTTTGCATTGGGCTGAGCGCTTCGGACGTGGTACTTTCCATTCGCGTGTCCACTGTGCCAGGTGGAAACCATCATTACTCCTGTTTTACAGATGAGAAAAGTGAGGTCTGAAAGGGAACACTCATTCCTAAACCCAAGGCTGGAAACTTAGTAACTGTAAATGAAGTAATGACCTTCGACCGACCAGCAGGGGTACCTGCATGTATTTGGGGGGTGTCTCTGTCCCTGTAGGGGGCCTCTCCTCAGGGCACTGGGCTCCAGTAGTCCATCACCCCTAATCTGTGATGCCAGCAGATCGCACAGCGGTGGGTGCTTGTCCCACATCTGCCAGGAGAAGAGGTCTTCAGAGGTGGAGGGTGGAGATGCATGGGGCTCCCTGCGTGTTTCAGCTGCCATGGGGGGGCATCGCTGGAGGTCTGTCTGGATGACGCCAGGGCCCTGCAGACGTGAACAGCGGGGCCCCCGGGGGCGTGCACCGCTGGAGGTGTGCTCTGGCCTGGGTCACCAGGTGGACAGCCTAGCCTGGTCCATGTAGGTCACTCCGCTCCTTCCCATGGCTGGGAGATGCCCCCTCTAAATATAGCCCATAGTGCTGAGCTCACGTCTATTTTCAGCCGAGGTTGGGAGGCGGCCAGGCCTTCGCCGGGCTCTCAGCGGAGCCACCGCTGCCTCTATCCGGTCCTGCTGCTGGGCACCTTCATTGGCCCCCTGCTGCCCACCACCCACCATGTCAGAGGAGACCCAGGAAGGTAGGAGATGATCGCTGGGTGGGGAGCGGGTAAGGCCCCAGTACTGTGACCCTGTGGACCGTGGAGAAACCTGGCTCCTGTCCCACTGACCTCACTTCCTTGACGCGTCATCAGGCCCCGTGTCCCCTACACGTGGAGGAAGGGCTTCCCCTGCCGGGAATGCCTCCTCACCTCATACCTGTCCCCCGTGCGAAGGATAGCGGGAGGAATTAGGGGCAGCTCCCCCACTGGGGCAGGGTCACCTCTAGGCCCAAGTGGGTGTGGGTGGGGCAGGCTGGTCAGGGAAGGTCTGCCTTCAGGGAGGACATAGGATTGGGCGTGGGAGGCGGTCCTGGGAAGCATTTGGGCACATGGCCCAGGGGCTGGGAGTGATTGGCTTCTGGCCTCCATGTGGGCCTGTGTGGCCCCATCTGGCTAAAGGTTGGGTCCCTTGGCCTGGCCAGACTGACTTCTAGTTAGACTTTGGTGGCCGGTCTCCTAATTGCCGCACTTCGGGCAGGAGGTCTGGAGGCTCAGAGGGGGAGCACAGGGACCTGGGCAGCTTCCCATTCGATGCTGGCCAGTGTGTGGGACCAGCTGATCAACTCCCCCCGCCCCACCCACAGCGTCAATGTTTATTACTGAATGGGAGGGGCCTGGCCCTGGGTGTGCGACTGTGTGCTTCCTTTTGACGTCTTAAGGATGACATTTACTATGTGTTTTTTGTGGTCACAAACAGAATCTAAGTTCAGTTTTTAGTGTGGAAAAAGCACAGCCAAGTGCACAGAAGGCATTTAATATGACCCCAACCCACCACCACCCAGACAGCGTCAGTTTTTGTTTTACATATTTTGAGCATCTCAAAAGCCAGTCTGAAGCAAATATGAACGTTGAGGTAGTATTCTAAAAGCCAGAGACCCAGAGAGTCCCATCACCCTTGGCTCTATCTGGAGGTGTCTTCCCAATGCCCCCAAATTTGTTTTCGAGCTTCCAGCTAGGCTTCTGGAGGTTTTTTATAGTTAGTTAGTTATTTTTGCACTGTGCTGGCTTCTCTAGCCGTGGAGAGCGGGGGCGACTCTTTGGCGCGCAGGCTTCTCACTGCGGCACCTTCCCCCGCCGAGGGGCTCGGGCTTCGGTACTTGCAGGACGTGGGTTCGGAGTTGTGGCACACAGGCTTAGTTGCTCGGCAGCACGTGAAATCCTCTGGACCAGGGATTGAACCCGTGTCTCCTTCACTGGCAGGTGGACTCTTCTCCACTGCACCACCAGGGAAGTCCTGGAGATCTCAAGGGGCCAACATTTAAAGAGGATGAGGGGGGAAGAACCACCATCTCCTAACTTAGCAAATATGTATGTGAATGCTTACATATGTAACATATTTTTTCAGTGGAGATGCCTAAGGGTGGCGATGTTGTACTCTTTTAGGGGCTCTGGACAACTATCCCCGGGGAAAACCTGATGATGGCTAATTCTAGGAATCCTTCGTTAGTAACTACTGGGAAACTGGGGGGAAACCCTTGTACACATCCGTTCCTAGGAGTTACTGAATTCAGCAGGGAACTGGAAACAAGCTAAATGCTCAGGCAGCCTGGAGGGGAGACCTCGCAGGCGTGTGCAGCAGTTAGGTAACAAAGGTGGCCTCCTTGTGATCCTGAGTGAGAAGAGAGTTCCCAGAATCTGGCAGAGCAGAGGCCAGGAGGGAAGGGCACCACGCTGGCCGCTGCTGTTGGGGACAGGAACAAGGTGGCAGGCACAGGGCGTGTGGGGCAAACTGACCGCAGAGGCTGCAGCAGGGAGTGTCGGGGGCCGTGGGTTTAGTCCTCCAATGATCTGGCCACGAGCAGGCAGAGAGGACTGCCCCAGAGTCCCTGCCTGCCTGGGGGAAACAAAGCTAAGTCAGGTGCCCTTCCTGCTCCTGTGGGTGAGACAGGCCCACATGGTTCTCGGGTCGTCTTGGCTGCAAATCACAGGTCATTTCTGAGTTGGTTTTAGGGGATTAGGAGCCCGAAGGCCCCTTCTACCGCCGGACACCCTTTGGAAGGGCGAGGGGGGCCTGACCCGCTGGCTCAACCAGTCCCACGCTGACCCCGCAGACACCGCGGCCCTGATGAGGAGCAGGGCGCCGCTGGCTCCCAACCACGTGGAGGAGGTGCGCCTCCACCAGGTGGAGTCCATCAGTGACCTTCACAACGGTGGTGAGAGGGGGCAGGGGAGTGGGGCCGCTGGTCTGAGCGCAGGGAGCGGGGAGGCACGCAGGCTTGCCTGCCTGCCCTCCTGATGCCCCGTCTGCCCTGCAGGTCCGCTGTGCCCCTACCTGGCCGAGGAGAGGCAGCCGTGGGGCGAGCTGCTGGGCGTGCTGCCGCCCTCACTGTGCGCCCAGGCCGGCTGCGGCCCGCTGCACAGCCGCGGGGCCTTCCTGCTGCTGCTCGCGCTGCTGGTCCTCACCTGCCTGGCACTGGCCGTGCTGGCCGTCTACCTGAGTGGTAGGGAGGGCGTCGGGAGCCAGCCGAAGGGGGAGACCGAGGCAGTGTGCGGAGCTGGGAGGGCAGGGTGTTGCGGGGTGGCTGATCCCCATTCCTCCGGCAGTGCTGCAGAGCGAGTCCCTCCGCGTGCTGGCGCACACGCTGCGAACCCAGGAGGAGGTGCTGCTCAAACTCCGGCTCGCCAGCCTCAGCCAGCTGCGGAGGCTCAACTCCAGTGAGGCCCGAGCACCCAGCTGAGATGCCTTTTGGACCAGGGGCCTGGGGGTATGTGCCGGGGAATAAAGTGGCCGTTGGCAGCTTTCTCCTCTCCCACTGCTGCTCCTCACGACTTCCTGGGTGCGGTTTTGGCGTGAGATCTGATCTGACCCCACAGCTGCCCGCCTCTCGTGGCTTCTCTGGCCAGGCCAGGCCTTCTGAGGCTGAGGCTCCACCTGGTGTGGCCCAAGGTCAGAGGAAGCCACACCAGCCTCCTGGCTCCTCTTGGGGCCTGGCAGCACCCACTGGCCTCCTCCAGATGGTGGGTCCAGAAGCCTAAAAATAGCTGGTCACCCAAACTCAGCCAGGCCTCCCAATGTGGGTTCCAGTCTCCACGCTCAAAAGGCAGGCTGGGCTCCGGGGAGGAGGGAGGCGGGCCATGGTGGGGAGACCTTTGGATGGCACAGGTAAGCAGATGGGGATGGGGAGGCCCAGCAGTGTGCAAACCTGGGTGGGAGGGAGGGCAGAGGAAACAGCCGGGGCCACAGAAGGCTGCGCGTTCTGTTTAATTATCTCTAATCATCTTTAAAAGCCAGCACAAAACTCCACTCCAGGTAGTATCACCGCCCCACTGTGGCATAGTGGCATTTGTCCAGATATCACCCTCTCCCCACACACAAGAAGTGACTCATCACAGGGGCACAAGGCCTGAGGAAGGCGCTGCCTTCTGCCCGCCTTGCAGCCCTGAGACGGGGGAGAGGCCACAGGGCTGCGTGCGGGGGTCCCAAGTGACCTCCAGCCAGCCCAGCCCCGTATCTCTTTGGTTTTGTCATTAAAAAAATAAAAGCGACAAGTCCTGGCAGGGACCAGGTGTTGCACGATCTTCTGTTAAAAAAACAGGCGAGGATGCGGACAGTCTGTCACAGGACGTCCGCCCGCTTGTCCCGCACGCGGCTGCGCGCCTTGGTCCTGGCTCTGAAGGCCGCCGCGTTGTACAGGTGCTGGGGGGCGCAGAGTGAGGGGCGTGAGCGGGGGAGGCGGCGACCCCGCCCTCCTCCAGCCCCCGCCAGCACGCCAGGCCAAAGCAGTGGAGGAGAGAGAAAGGGGCCGAACCTTCTCGAAACGGGAGATCTTGCAGGCCTTCAGGGCTGCGGCATCCAGCACCAGCACCGGGCCCAGGCTGAAGATGTCCCGGAGCAGCTCGTTGTTCTGGGGGTCGAGAAGGCCCGTGAGCTCAGGTCCGCGTGGCACCGCCCCAGGGTGCCCCCTCCCCGTCCGCCCACCCGCCCACCTGGAGGTGGTGGTGCATCCCGGAGCCCAGTGCGTCCTTGAAGGCGGCGTAGACCCGGCGCCGGGCCCAGCTGTCCACGTAGAGCACCTCGAGGCCGAAGCGGATGGTCTCCTCCTCACACTCGCCACCCTACAGGTGAGAGGGGCCAGGACTGGGCTCGGCGGCTGTGCCGACTGTGCCCGGGGGTCAGGGGTGAGGCTGACCCGCGCCTCCGCACACGCACCTCGACGAAGTGCAGCACCGCCCGGAAGGTGGAGCGCTGGCGCCGGCGGTCGGCCTTGGCCCGGTACTTGTTGCTGTCGGTGGCCAGAGTGCGCAGCTCCCCGCAGAGGGCCTCAATGTCCTCGTAGACAAAGTCCTCCTGCAGCGGAGCCGGGGAGGACACGGGGGCCGGGCCTGAGCGCCGCTGGCTCTGAGCCTGGTGGGCTCGCCCCAACCTTGCCTTTCCCGGAGGGAGCCGTGTTCTCCTCTGCCTGACTCCGGATCCCTCCTCCTTGGCCCCTGCCTGTGCCAGACACCCCAGCCAGGGGGCCCCTCAGAGCACCCGGCATCTGAGTCGGTGGAGGCCGCGTCCCCTCTGTAGTGATCTCAGGCTGCCTTGCTCTCTGGGGCATCCCCAGCACCCCGCCCCAGACGGGCAGGAGGCGTTGGCAGGCACCCTCCCAAGCGCGCCCCCGGCGCTCACACCTCAAGGTCCCGGGCGAGCTCAAAGAGCAAGGCGATGGTCTCGCCGGCAGCCATCCGCAGGTTCACACTCTCGCTGGACAAGAGCTGGGGCAGCCGGGGTAGCTGCCTGGGGAAGGGGCAGGCTGAGCCATTGTGTGTGGGCCGGGGGGCCTATTCACCCCGGCCCTCCCGCTCCCGGGGTGGGGGCGCAGCGCCCCTACCTGTCCAGGATGGGGCCGATGTGCGTGCTGGGGCAGATGGTGAGGAGCAGCGCCCAGGCCTGCAGGGCTGCGCAGAGCAGGCTCTGCAGGCTGGCGGGGACCACCGGGCCAGAGCCCCGCCCGCTGCAGGCCCGGCTGAAAACACCTTCTAGGCAGGTGAGGCAGGAGACCAGGTCCTAGGGGGCGCACAGGAGGCAGGGGACGGGCTCAGGGGCAGAGCCGGGGCCTGGGGGCTCTCCCGCCGGGGCCGCTAGGCCACTCACCTCCATGTCGGCAGCGGCCACGTAGCAGCCCAAGCCGAGAGCGGACGCGCACTGCTGGGAGGAGGGTAAAGCAGCCGGTGGTCAGAGGCAGGCCCGGGCTTCCCGCCGCCGGCCGGGGCTCACCCTCAGAGTAGGGGGAGCCTGGAGGCGGAGGTGGGGGATGAGGTGCAGGCGGGGTAGCCCGGGCGAGGACACTCACGTGGAGCCGGGCGGCAGGGCTGGCCGCGCTGTCGCTGAGCACAGAGACGAGCAGCGGCTGCAGGCTGTGGAAGAACTCCTCGCCCTTGGGGCCGGGGCCCAGCTGCACGCACAGCAGGCCCAGCACGGCCGCGGCCAGGGCCTGCTCCTCGCCCTTGCCTGCGGGAAGGCCGGCGGTCAGTCCAGGCAGTGAGGGCCAGCACCCAGTCGGTTCAGGGCCGCCCCCCTGCACCCCGGGCCCCACCTTTCTTGAGGCACTTTTCCAAGGCGTCGGCCAGGGTGAGGCGGCGCTCCAGCAAGAAGTCGGGGAGCAGACGGGCTGCGAGGGCCAGGCGCAGGCTCTCCAGAGCGCCCTGCCGGGTCTTGGCACTGGGGGACGGAGAAGGGGTTTCGTGGGCCAGCCCGCCCTGGCAGCCGGCGCGGGCTAAGCAGGGACGCGGGACGGGGCTGGCTGGAGGTCGGGGTACCTCTTGTCTGTGAGGCAGTCCACATACTCCTTCACCTTCTCCTCAAGGTCCTCCTGCTGACCCTGCTCTTCCACGGCTTCCCCTCCTGCAAGGCCAGCTCGTCATGCCCCTTCCGGCCCACCCCTGGAGCCCCGCGGGGTCCCCGCTGCACCCCATCCCCTCTCACCCAGGCTCTCCTCGGCGGCGGCGCTCAGCTGGCTGGGACACTCGCTGGTAGTGCTGCGGGCCTCGCTGGCTGCCTCGTCCTCACTGGAGCCTGAGTCAGCCTGGGTACTGCTCCGGGCACCTGGGGAGGGCGGGACGGGGGCGCTTGGTCTGCCCTGGTGGAGGCGTGATGGCGGGGGTTACCTCGCCAGCCTCATGACCCCGTGGGACAGGATGCTGCCCTCCTCAAGGCTGACTGATGCCTGAGCCAGGAAGGCAGCCTGCGGTGGGCAGGCGCCAGGCCCCACATCAGACAACCTGGCAGGTGTGGTGGGCAGGGCCTCCTGAGGCTCGAGTGTGCTTTTAGGAGGAGACGTGAGCTGGGCCATGCAGAGGGGCTGCCCAGACCCCACCTTGGCATGGAGTAGGGGCACATCCAGGCAGATTCTGGGGTAGCTGGATCACCGGCCCAGATGATGCCCCTAAATGCCAGGGCCTTAGATTACAGAGCCTGACAGACCCAAGATCCACATCCCTGCTGCAGAGCTTAACGCGGGTTAACCAGGTAAGAGGACTTGGTCTTCAAAGCCTCACTTTCTCCGTCCGCAAAAGAGGTGAAAAGCACCTCTCTGGGGCCGGCAATGCAGACAGTAAGTACCCAGGTGACTAGTCTCGGCTCTCAGTGGGTCAGCCAGCTCACCCACCAGCACTGGGGTTCGAGATCCGGCTCCTGGTGGGTGTGGGTGGGCGCCCCAGGCCTCACACACACTCTCCTGAGCTCCCCTGGGCCATGCCAGCCTTGGCCCAGAGTGGATGGACACACAGGCTCCTCTTGACCCTGGGATGTACAGAGCGCCACGTGGCCCCTGGTTTCGGGAGCCCTTGAAAAAGGTGAACACAGGAAGGTGTGCGGGTCATCAGCAGAGCTGGACGCTCGTGTGTAAGGGCGGCAGCTGCAGCCGGAGACCCAGATAGTTGCTGGTCACTAGGCTGACCCTGCGTGGCTGGGGGGGGTGTGTGTGGCGGAAGATGGGGCTGCCGAGGTCACAGCAGGGCCCAGGACGGGGTGCGGTGGAGACGGACTGTCTTCAAGCACCCTCAGAGAAGCCTGGGCCCGTGGAGAGGGGAGGTTCGCTCCTGCTGTTGAGTGGTGTGTCTGGGATAAATCAGGAGGTTAGGACTGACATTTGTGCGTGCTCAGTCGCTTCAGGAGAGTCCGACTCTTTGTGACCCTATGGACTGTAGCTCACAGGATCCTCTGTCCATGGGATTCTCCAGGCGAGAATACTGGAGTGGGTTGCCATGTCCCTCTCCAGGCGATCTTCCCGATCCAGGGATCAAACCCATGTCTCCTATATCTCCTGCACTGGCAGATGGTTCTTTACCACTAGCGCCACCTGCCCATAAAACTGACATATACACAGTAGTGTAAGTAACAGTGACCAAGGCCTACTGTGGAGCACAGGGGATTCTACTGAGCCCTGGGTCAGAATCTGTATATATACACTATATATATATGTATACAGATCTATATATACATATATACTGTACACACACAGATCTATGTATGTATAACTAAATCATGTTACTGTACACCTAAAAAACATCAGAGTAAATCAAATACACACCAAAATAAAGTAAAAATGCAACCAAAATGGAAGGAAGGGCGGGGGGGAGGGAAGGGAGGAAGAAACGAGGGAAGAAGAAGGAAGAAAAAGGTAAGTGGGGACCAGCCAGCCTAGATAAGCTTCCTCGCCCAGGACAGCCTTGCCTACGGACCGAGATGCTTGAGCGCCGTCTCCCCTGGAGCGTGAGTCAGTCTCTCTCTCCCTTCCTCTTGCTCCTTGTCTCATTGCTCTGTTGT